GGACCATACTTGATTCAAATCCCTTTATAATCGATCAGTCATGTTCCAGTTTATTTCAGGTAATCCTGACTTTGAGTTTTGGTAATACTATGTCTTTATCATTTTCTCTCTCCAGCTCTAGGGTATAGTAGGGTTTTGCTCTTTCTAATCTCTAAATTACATAGATTTCTCAGCTCCTCCATTACCGCCTGTGTGACTAATTCCCTGAATTAAATTTCCTCTTAATTAAATACTTGAAATTGTGTTTGTTTTTCTGATTAGAACCCTACTGTTATAACATATTACTTCTCACTCTCCCTTTCTCTTTCCCCCTTCTTCCTCTCCTATTTTTAACATTTATTTTAGGTTCAGGTGTCACGTGCAGGTTTGTTACATAGGCAGATTGCATGTTATGGAGGTTCAGTGTACAGAGTATTTCATCACCCAGGTAATAAGCATAGTACTGGATAGGTAGTTTTTTGATTATCTCCCACCTCCCACTGAGGGCCTTGTGTCTGTTGTTTCCTTCTTTGTATCCTTGTGTTCTCAGTGTTTAGCTCCCACTTGTTAGTGAGAAATGCAGTATTTGCTATTCTTTTCCTGCATTAGTTCATTTAGGCAAACGGCCTCCAGCTCCACCCATGTTCCTGAAAAGGGCATGATCTCATTCTTTTTTATGGCTGTATAGTATTCTATGGTGTGTATGTACCATATTTTCTTTATCCAGTCTATTATTGATGGGCATTCAGGTTGATTACATGTCTTTGCTGTTGTGAATAGTGCTACAATGAACATACATGTGCGTATGTCTTTATGGTAGAGCAATTTATATTCCTTTGGGTGTATACTTAATAATGGGATTGCTGGGCTAAATGGTAATTGTGATTTAAGTTCTTCAAAGAATTGCCATACTGCTTTCCACAATGGCTGAACTCATTTACATTCCCACCAGCAGTGTAAGCATTCCCTTTTCTTTACAGTCTCACCAGCGGCTGTTAGATTTTGACTTTTTTAGTAATAGTCATTCTGACTGGTGTGAGATGATGTCTCACTGTGGTTTTGATTTGCACACGTGTAATGATTAGTGATGTTGAGTATTTTTTCATATGCTTGTTAGCCACGTGTATGTCTTTTTCTAGACCTTTCTGTCCTTATTTCTTCTCCTTCTTTTTTTCTTTGTCCTCCTCACTTTGGCAGCCTAGGAACTTCTCAACTTAAATGACAAAGCTTCAAATCTATTTCAGATTTTCCAGTGAAAACAGACCATTGTTAAAAAGTTATTATTAAGCATTTTTTTTATTTGAATTCTGGTTTCGTGTGAGACCTAAAAGTAGTCAGGAAACCTCTTTATAGTTTGGTTTCCTTATGTTTATAAAGAGAATAATACTAAGCTTATAGAATTAATTTGAAGATTAAATAATATAAATCTACTGGAAAGCATATGTTGTCTAGCAGGTTATAAACCCTGAAAATATTTGCTGATCTTGTAGTTTATATGTTACATGTACAGTTCCTAAAATATGTCCTGGTATTTAAGAGCCTTTCAATTCAATATAGTGTGTCTTCTACATATATATACTGCTCCACAAAGACTCTTGGGGTTTCAGGTTGATAAAATAGAAAAAAAAACTAAAAATGCTTAATTTTTGAGGAAGTTTAAAATATATTCAGCAATATATTCAACATATGTGTTTACCAAGGGCAAGTGAGTAGCAAATAACTAAAGACATTCAATAACTGTGGGGGTTTTATCATTGAACTTTGTCTCCACCCTTTAATTGTTTCCAATAGATTGTATAATCAGGAAAATAACAATTTTTTCATTTAATATTAATCTATTTGTCTCATTTATCATTAACCCTGCAGTTCTTTGGTGTGGTTCTGATGCTTCCTTTACTCATTCACTTCCACAGACCCTATTCCTTTCCCTCATCATGACAGTGGAGTATTCTAGCCCTAGCCCTCACTTTTGTTAGAATCGTTGAGTTCCTTTTCAGACACATAGGTACAATTTTATTCATTTTTAATGTTAATGTTGTCGCTTTAAAGATTTAGCAAGGAATTCTAGAAAAATGACTGCCTGCCCAGAATTTTTATCCTTCCCCTTTCAACACTAGTCATCTGTCTCATATGGGTCACATGGCTGCTGGGGCAAAATACTCCTGGATACACATAATGCATTGGGTGCTGTGGGAATACAGGTAGTGAGGACTGGTATGGATCAGAGTAGAAATAGAATACTAACATCTAATATCCCAGAGAGAAGAATTAGAACTAAGAAACTTTTTAAGGAATCTTGACTCAATGATACGTGGGAGCAGGACCAGCTATATAATTTGAGGATCCAGTGTAAAACAAAAGTGCCGAAACCCTTGTTCAAAAGTTATTAGAAAATGTTAGATGATGACAGAGCATTAAACAAAGCATGGGCCCTTCTGTGTTCAGAGTCTTATGTGACTGCACAGATTGCACACTCATGATCTACTCCTGGGTGCAAGTAGGTGTGTTAAGAAAAGGAAGATGCAAACATCAATCTTGTATGATTGTGTCAGACTCCCTAGCCCAAGAATCAAGCAGCTGAACTGATGGGCTGAGTTCTCCCATGCATGAGGCTCAGGGATTGTGAGTTGACTGCAAAGTGAAGAGGCTTCCTCCTAATATCAAGTGACTGGCATCCTGCCTGCTACTGTACACCCACTAGCCCACAGGGTTGGTTACTTCATCTTATTTGACACTGATCTGGAAGTTCTAGCAAATGCTATCAATCAACAGTCAAAAGTTAAAAAAGAAGACAAAAAGAACAAAAGAAGAGGAGAACTGATATAAACACTGAAGAAATTTTTTAAATTTTTTAAATTTTTTAAAAAATGTGAGAGAGGGCAAGATGGCCAACCAGACGCAGCTAGGTGGAAAAAGCTGCCACTAATGGATCAAGATGACTGGCCCACTCTTAATCAAGCTTCAGAGGGAAGGCATTGAGAGTGGACAGAGACATGACACAGAAGCAGGCTGGAGGGGGAGAGAGTGGTAAGCCTTGCATGGAGCTGCTGTGCACCGAGGCTCACTCCTGGCCCCCAACGACTCCAGGGGTGAGTTGAACTGGCAAAGAGCAACAAGCTCTTGCCATGGGCCTCTGGAATCCTGGCAGGAGACGATTTCTCAACCACCACGGACACTTGAGCTTCCAGAAAGAGCTTCTTAGAGAAGTGGTAGGGGAAGCAAGCCAGCCAATATGGAGCCGAGATTTGGTATGAGAGCCTCTGTAGCAAAGCACAGCCAGGGACAGCCATTCCCCCAGGCTTGACTTTCTCCTATAGGAGACTTTAGCACTAGGGGAACTGTCAGTCTTGAATTCTGCAGTGTGGTCTTGCCCATGACATGAGGACATGCAACCTGAGCACCCTTTGGTCTGCTGGTGTCTCCTAGGACTCCAGCTTGGCCACGTGCACTGGCAGGGCAGCCTTGGGTGCCTTAGGGGCTCCATCATAGCTTCTGGGCTGGTGGACCCTGCCTGACTTGAGGAGAGCTCCAGTAGGGTGGATTCTACAGCCACACATCCAGCCCACCAATACCCTCCCCTGGGCTGACAGCAGCCACCATCGCTTCATTGCTTTGCCAGCATGTGTGTGCGGGATCAGGTTTTGCTTCCTGTGCCCCCAGATGCTCGTGTGTGTGCATGCACCCTGCCTTGCCACTGTTGCAACAGAAGTGCAGTCCATCTTCTTTGTCCCCACCAATCACCATTAGAGTCAGTATTGGCAGGTACAGAGCCAGCCAGCTCCACTCCACCAGTGCCCAAACTTGCATCAGTGCTGCCACAGATGTGAAACTAGGCAATGACACATGTAGGCTCAAAATAAAGGAATGGAGAAAAATCTACCAAACAAATGAAAAACAGAAAAACACAGTGGTTGCAATCCTAATTTCAGACAACTTAGACTTTAAACAAACAATGGTCAAAATAGACAAGGAAGGAAATTACATAATAGTAGTGTTCAATTCAACAAGAAGACCTAACTATTATATATATCTCCAACACAGAAGCACCCAGATTCATAAAAGAAGTTCTTAGAGACCTGCAAAGAGACCTAGACTCCCACCCAATAATAGTAGGAGAACGTTAATACCACAGTGACAATATTAGAACATTGAGACAGAGAGTTAAAGATATTCAGGACTTGAACTCAGCTCTGGACCAAGTGGACCTGATAGATATCTACAGAACCCTACACACCAAAACAACAGAATTGAATCCCTGAACAGACCAACAATGAGCTCTGAAATTGAGACAGTAATAAATTGCCTACCAACCAAAGAAAACTCAGGAATGGATGAATTCACAGCTGAATTCTATCAGATATACAAAAAGCTGTTACTATTTCTTCTTAAACTATTCAAAAAATTGAGGAAGAAAAACTTCTCCCTAACTCATTTTATGAAGCTGGTATCATCCTGATACCATGACTTGGCATAGACACAACAAAAATGAAAACTTCAGACCAATATCTTCGATGAACATCAATACAAAAATCCTCAACAAAATACTGGCAAACCGAATCCAGCAGCATATAAAAAAGCTTATCCAGCATGATTAAGTAGGCATATTCCTGGATGCAGGTTTGGTTCAACATACACAAATCAATAAATGTGATTCATGAAATAAACAGAACTAAAGACAAAACCACATGATTTTCTCAATAGATGCAGGTTTTTGATAAAATTCAACATTCTTTCATGTTAAAAACTCTAAATAAACTGGGAATTGAAGGAACATACCACAAATAAAAAGAGGTGTCTATGACAAACCCACAGCCAACATCATACTGAATGCACAAATGTTGGAAGTATTCCTCTTGAAAACCTGCACAAGACAAGGATGCCTTGTTTCACCACTTATATTCAACATAGCCCTGGAAGTCCTGACTAGAATAATCAGGCAAGAGAAAGAAATAAAGGACATCCAAATAGGAAAATAGGAAGTCCAGCTATCCCTATTTGCAGATGACATGATCCCTTATCTAGAAAACCCAATAGTCTTGGCCTCAAAGCTCCTTAAGCTGTTAATAACTTCAGCAAAGTCTCACGATACAAAATCAATATACAAAAATCAGTAGCATTCCTATACATTAACAAGAGTCAAGGTGAGAGCCAAATCAGGAATGTAGCTCCATTCACAATTGCCCAAAAAATAATGAAATACCCAGGAATACAGATAACCAGAGAGGTGAAAGATCTCTACAAGGAGAAAACACTGCTCAAGGAAATTAGAAATGACCACAAACAGAAAAACATTCCATGCTCATGGATAGGAGGTATCAGTATCATTAAAATGACCATACTCCACAAAACAATTTATAGGTTCAATGCTATAGAATTGAGTTAGAATCTCAATTGTTCTTTTTAAATAAAGTGACGTTTAAGTATACACATAAGAATAAATCTTCAGGAATACTCAAGGGAGAAACAAGTGACTTGCCAAAGATATTCAGAATATATTACTAAATGGAAAATTTTTTCTCATAAATCAATGGCCACCCCAATAGACAAAGTGGAAGCAAGGAAGAGAGAATCCAAAAGTAGATCCTAGTGCATATGAGCATTTAAAATGAAAGACAAATGCTGCATCATCTCACTCATTTGTGGAATCTGAAAGAGCTGATCTTACAGAAGTAGAGAGTGGAATGGTGGTTACCAGGAGCTATAGGGTTAAAAAGCTTGGACATATGTTAGCTAAAGGATACAAAATTTCAGTAATATTAGAGAAAAAAGTTCAAGAGGTCTGTTGTATAACTTGGCGACTATAGTTAACAAAATACTGTGTTCTCGAAAAATGCTGAGAGTGGATGCAAAATATTATTATCACAAAAATGATAAATTATGTGAGGTACTGCATATGTTAATTAGCTAGATGTAGTCATGCCATACTGTATGTGTACTTCAAAACAGTACTGTGGCAAACACATGCAATTTTCCTTTATATTGAAATATTTAAAGATATTTCAATAGATAATATTTCAATAGAAATATTCAAAGATAATATTTCAATATGAAGGAAAAATAATGGATTCTTTAATAATGCAAATAAAAGCAATGAAATATTTAATAGAACACAACAACATATCCACCAAGAAAAATTAAAAATGGGTCCCTTTCATCTCTATGTCAAATGTAATTCCTAGTTGAGTTAGATATTTAAATGTAAAATTAAAAAAACCTTAGAAAATTCTAGAAGACTATATAAACATTCCAGAAACAAGCAAAGCCTTCTGACACTCAGAAGCTATAAAACAACAAAGAAGACTAATGTGTATAAAACCTAAAAGTTCTTATTGTGGAAAAGATACTATAAGTAAAGTGAAGAAACCAACAGTAAATTTGGAAAAAAGAACTTGCATAGCAGATAAAACAGCTAGCATCATACTATATAAAAGACTCAAAAGTTAAAAAGAAAATAAACAATAGAAAAATGGCAACAGATATGAAGAGAATGTTTATATCGGTGGGAATCTACGTGGTGAAAAATAATGAAAAGATGCACACACACATTAGTAGCTTAGAAAAGAGAGATTAAAGTAATAGATTTAACATTTTACCATTTAGACTGGCAAATATTGAAGGGAACATAAAATCTGTTGCCACCCGGGAATGGGAAAAATGGCATGCTCATAAAATTTGAAAAGAAATGTGAACGCAATCCCTAAACACTTAGAAACAATGCAAATACCCTAAAAGCCCAGTAATCCCTTTCCTAATCATCTATTCTCTACAAAAAAAAAAAAAAGTTTCTGTATGTAACGATAATTTACAAGGTTTTTTACATCAGCATTGTTCATAGTGGAGAAAAAAATCAATAAAAAATAGATAAATCCATTATGCTTCTAAACCACTAACAGCAATGAATGAGAACAATGCCAGGTACTTGATAAGATTTCTATGGCATTATATATATTATCCCATTTTTTCCTATACATGGATATCTGTGTGTATATACATAGATAAGTATATATATGAATATGTATGTGCCTCTGTGGGCATGGAGAAAAAATGTGAAAAGTTGCATGTTAGGTTGTTAACTTGGGTCATCTAGTAGGGAGGAGGCAGGAGAGAAGTTAACTGGATGGAGTGGGTAGTAACAGGAGATGCAAAAATGTAAAGTACAAATGAAAAATGAATGAAAAGGAATGCATGACATAATTGTATTGCTGTGTAAATACATTGTATGTGTGTATTATCCTTGTCATGTAAAATTAGAATTCTATCAGTATGTGTATAAAAATATGTTTTAAAACAGAGTTGGAGCTAAACCCTTGGCTGTCCCTGAGGCAGTGGACCCCTTCCAGAGTTTAACTTTTCCTTTATTTTTATTTTTTAATATTTCTGGGGCCAAGAGGTCACCATGTTGGGGACTGATTATAAAGTGAAGGTGGAAATGGCCTTCAGGGAATTTGCATCCTGGGTATATCTGCCATTGACTTATTTAACAGAAAGTGAATCATATGCTGTTTTTTTTTGATCAACCAGAGTAAGTGTGTAGGGAGTGCTGATAAACAGGGCTTAGGACCTGGGAGACTGAAAGAATAAGTGTGTTATGACAGCAATAAGAAACACAGAAGAAGACAGTGCTTTGTAGGGAAGGTCAGAAATTTAAGTAGAACCGACTGCATTTGAGATGCTGGTTTCAGCACTTACAATTGGGCGTTAGCGAGGAGACAGCAGAAGAGTAGTTAGAAGGTTGGGAGTGGGGAAATGGGCCTTCTGTCGGGGGAGACAGAGGATGATGCAATCACTGACTGACTTTGAGAATGCAGGTCAGAATCCTGGGGAAATCATACTTTAGAGAGAAGAGCAAAGGAGGCTAGAAGGATGTCAAAGGCTAATATGGAGAAGTAGAACAAGCTGAAGAAAAATGTCCATGGAAGCTAAAAGTGTTCATCTTCAGGGAGAGGGTGCCTGGTCACTCCAGTGAAGCAGAAGGGAGAAGTTGCCCTAGGCAGAGAGAAGACAGCGAGATTTGGCAACTCAGGGAGCTACCACTCATCTTGAAGGGGCTTGTGTGGATCCAGTGGGCAATAAACATTAGCTTTGATGCTAGTGGAGGTTCACTCTTCATTAGAGACAGGAGGAAGGTGTTGAAGGTGATGTTGAATTTGAGGAAGGAGAACATTTAAGTCGAACTTGAGGAATGTTTGTGAATCCTTTAGAATACATTATTACTACTTTAAGAAGATAGTAGTACCATTTATCGGTGCCACCACAATGTTTATAAAACAGCTACTCAGAACTCAAAGTGGAAATTGGCCTCGAGTGAACATGGACACTCTATGAGGCTCCTCTTGGTCAACACTAAAGTCTTCCCCACAGCACCTCTTACCACAGCCACGGCTGCAGTGATCTGTGCTCGGTGGGCTTTACCCAGCTTCATGCAGGAGCACCCATGGCAGCATCTCAGGACTGCCTCTGGCTGAACCGCAGCTTCTTGTTCACAGGCGTGTGAGACATCCACTGGTACCCACTTGGCACCCTCATGTGTGTAATCCTCAAGTGTGTGTATGTGTGTTGGGGATGATGATCTTTAGACCAAAGAATAACTGTCAATAGATAACTACCTCCTTTTCTTTATCCCAGGCAGACACATGTGCTGAGATATTTTTTATATGACTTCTCATTTGCTCTTTTCAATTACTGCATTTTCTCCGTAGTATCAGCGGCCGACTCCATAATGCATTCTTGTTTCCTCTCCTTCATTGCCAATACTGTCTTCCAAATTATTGCACTTAAGCTTTTATCTCTGGTTCTGCTTTCTGGGGGACACAAGGTAAGACTGCTGCTGTTTAAAGAATAGAAAATAGGGCAGCTGTGTGGTCCAATTAAAAAATAGGGAAAGGAATGAATGTTTTTTTCACAAGCAAGCATGCTTGTGTATCCTTTTATTTCCTTTTTTTTTCCCCCAAAAGAACTTAGGTCTTCAGTTACTTTTTAAATGTCTGTAATATGTCGAAATCCTTAGGTGAAAAGCAATAGAAGAGCCAAGTGTTCTGTAATAGATCTTCAATTAATTGGAGAATATACAAGAGAGGGTAAAATAATTCAACTAATTTTGAATAAAATGCTTTTATAATTAAAAATATGTTAGGAGGAACAGTCCTAATTTTCCTTTATGTGTCTTGAAAATTTGCCAGGAATTTAAAAGTCTTCCATTATTACACATGGCTTCTGGACTTTAACAGTCCCTTAGCTCTTAAGTTAATTTTATGTCCTAAACCAAAATTACTTCTTCAGGCTTTCTTTTCTTTTTTATATCACCTAATTTAGTAAGATTTTTGGAGATCGTTATTCTGATTATTCTTTTGTTACTTAATTATGTGATCTACTGTAACATTTTATGCTATTCTGGAAGCAGTTTTTGAATAGAATATTCTTTTTGAGGATGATCTGGGAGCTTTGCAGTCTTACGCCTGTCTTTTCTTGTCTCAAGGTTGTTCAAAAATTATGTAGTGTTAATGCACAAAAACAGAACTTGAGCTTTCTCTATTGCATTCAATTAAGAGAGCTCATCCAATTACTACCTCTATTTGCTTAGAAGTTATCAGCTAATGATAAGTTTCTCCAAGGGCAGCATACTAAACTTCTGTGGCTCCTTTCTATTTGCGGCATTTTGTTCTAGGCTAAACTATTTGAGGATTCAAACAGAGTAACAAGCTCTTAAAGAAAAATAGCAAATTTGTCCTAGGGTACAAATTTCAATGTCAAACTCTATTTTTGCTATTGAATTAAACCTCTAATTTTGAGCTTGTGAAACTGAACAGAAACCTGGTAGAAGTAAACCGTAACTGCATAAGCCTGATCCCGGTTGCTTACCCTGGGTACCATTAAAATGGACTTCTGGAGAATTATAGCACTGTGACAAGGTAGTTAGGCTCATGGATGTTGGTGTTAAATTGTCTGAAGCTAATTTCTGACTCTACCACTTGTTATCTGAGTTTGATGTGAATTACTTATCTGAACCTGTGTATCATCATCTATAAGCACAGACAGTAACTGCAACCACCTCATCAAATTGCTATGCCTATAGAAAGCATTCCCTGATGGGGAACATTACACACCAGGGCCTGTCAGAAGGTGGGGGGCTAGGGGAGGGAGAGCATTAGGAGAAATACCTAATGTAGATGATGGTCTGATGGGTGCAGCAAACCACCATGGCACATGGATACCTGTGTAACAAACCTGCATGTTCTGAACATGTATCCCAGAGCTTAAAGTATAATTAAAAAAAAAAAAAAAGAAATCACTCCTTGATAACTATTATCATTATTCATTATAGCTGCTAATATAAACTGTAGTCAATTACAATAAATACCCACAATATTGGTGGTCTTCTTTATGAAAAATATAAATTGCCTTTTAAAGAATTTTAAAAAGTAAGGAAGGGAGAAAGAGCCAAGGAAACTTGAGATTTAATTTTAAAAATTGATGCTTTTACTGTGTATTAGTAAAGATCATGGTTTCTTGAGCATAGAAACCCAGGTCCAAATCCCAGCTCTGACACTTATTAGCTCTTATTAGCACTTAAATGAGAGATTTAACCTTTATGTGCCTGTTTTCTCAGTCTGAATGGGAGATAATTATAGGGCTAACCTCACACAGTTGTTATGAAAGTTTAATTGTTTTTTCTTAAAGCAGTGCCTGGCCAGGCTGGTTTCCTAGACATGTGACCTATGCATACAAGGTGCCATGCTCAGAACAGTCCCATGCTTAGATTAATGTTCTGCTGTATCTATCTTAAAGTTCATAATAATTTCTTATTTTTCTTAGCAACATTAAGCATGCATGTGAGCAGAGAAGGCCTGCTTAATAGTCATGTCCATTCTGTTCCTTGCTCCTGTGTGAGTACATAATATTTGTGATGCCCGATGAGCACCGAATGTTAGTGGACCCAAATTTGTAAGATCAGTGAGCACAAGATGAATGTGTTGTGTCTATGACTGATTTAATAAGAGCACAGACAGCTCCAAGACACTGCTTTCTGTTCAAACCATAACTATCTTCAAAGGCAGAGTGAAGGCAACAGCATTCTATGAAACAGAAATGACCAAAAAATCCATATCATATTATCTCTTACTCATTTTATTTTCCGTTATTAGTCAGCCACTTATGCTGAAAATGATGAGGTAGAAGGAAAGAGAAAGAACTCATAGTTCTCTTTTCTTTCAGTTCTTTCTTGCTCATCAGTGAGCTGAAAGTAGACAGTGTTGGTAGAATGTGTCCGTATCAAGACATGAAATAAAAATAGCTGAGTTATTTTTGTATCATTTCCTCTGTTCTATCAAGGAAAAATATATGTATGTACAACCTGTGAGATATATGAATTCCACAACTCCAACAATTGTGCAAGAGATAATGCTCTTATATTTTCATTTAAAATTGGGATTGTATAATATAAAGATGGACAATTAAATTCATGCTAAAATTTTCCAAAAAGTTTTCCATATTTAGAATGAAATTAAAGTAAATGGAGAATACCATGACAAATCAAAACGCAAACTGTGGATGAAAGAAAATGTCTTTATATTTTTAATACCTTTTATGGCACTTTTAAATTGCTTTTTGAACAAAGGACTCCACATTTTTATTTTGCATAGGGCCCTACAAATTGTATAGCTGGGCCTGGTGCTTGACACATCTTTGGTCCTATATATGTATATCTATATGTATATATGTGCAAACACAGAGGCATATAACCTCAAAGGAATCATTGGGGGGGTGCATATTTTTATATGGGAATATTGCATTCCTAAAAGGAAAGTAGAAAATTTATATCTCTAGAAGAAAAATATTCAAACAGGGAAAGGCGGCTTACTCAGTATCTGAACCTGTCCCTATGAATTTGACATTCTCTGTGGGCTTAGATGCCCATTATTCCTAGATCGGGAAGTTTTTCTTCTATCCCATAGACAGTTCTCAATAGCCAGATGGGCAAGGAGCACAGTACATACTCAGTTTGTTCCTCTTGCCATCTCTTTGGCACTTTTCAGGGTTCCTCTGAAGAACTTGAAAGTGTTTAAAGACTTTCAAATACGTGATTTCATCTAAGCCCCACAACCCTTTTGAAGTAGGTAGTGGAGAAGCTAAAATGAATGTACGTTGCTGGCTAGTTACCAACTTCCCCTGCAAGGGGCATTGCCTTCTGAGTTCATCACAGCCCATGGTCTGATCCCTCCGTGTTACAGATTTAGAAAACAGACAGTGTCAGTTTTCCAGAGCTGTACAGGACTTAACACATGCTGGTTCACATCAACTCAATCTGCAGGAGAATAAAGTATACAACCCAGAAATCCAATGCTGTAATTTATAGAGCAATATAACTTTCCAGCACACCAGAACATTCTCTTCCTGTAGAAAAACATCCTGGGAAGTTAGATTATCAGAAAGTAGCTCATGATCATGGAATCAGAATGATAGTGGATTGGATAACTCGTATGTTTCAAGGCATCAGCCTCTGATGGTCTGAAAGATCTGTCTCAACAATAAGGAGACTTGGACACATTCACATCATTTTATCTTCCTAGGACACTTTGTTCTCCAGTCAGTGCTGGAGGCATGCTGGTAATTTATGCCTTCCATTCTCTTATAACCCTTGCTGATTGATTCATTTTCGATTCTTTCTTGAGATATGTGATTTTTATCATATAGTAACAGCCAGATTATTTTCCTTCCTGCTTCTGGCATAGGGAACACTTTTCCTTCCCCGAGGTGTTTTTCATATAGAAGAGATTTCATGTGATATGTGTCAGATTTAAGGTTTAACCGTTAGCTTTTAGGAATGCATTGTCCTCACTTCTGCCTTCAGACAGTGCTGTCTTCATTTTACAAAATGGAAAAATAGGCTCAGGGATGTTAATAATGTGGTTCGTGGAAGGAAGCCTGATGTTTACTTGCCTTCAGTGTTTTTTGGATTAAACTATAATGTTCTTCTTGCTATTGTATTATGCTGTATTACCTCTTAAAATTTAAATACTTAAAAAAATTGAAGGCAGCATTATATTTATACTCTACCATTTTTTTAATGTGACCTACAAAATATAGCACAATCTGCTTCTTAGCTGCACTTCTGACTCCATTTTCATTCTCCCTCCCATTCACTCCTCTTCAGCTACACCCACATGTTCTGGGCAGATGATGAAAAACACGTACAATCCCTTGGGCAGAGGAAGAAGAACATGTAAAATCCGTAAGGAAGACAATGTGGCAATTCCTCAAACATCTAGAACCAGAAATACCATTTGACCCAGCAGTATTTGACCTATATTAATACATATATACCCAAAGAATTATAAATCATTCTACTGTAAAAACACATGCCTACGTATGTTTATTGCAGCGCTATTCACAATAGCAAAGACTTGGAACCAACCCAAATGCCCATTAATGACAGACTAGATAAAGAAAATGTGGTACGTATACAGCATGAAATACTATGCATCCATAAAAAAGGAAGAGTTCATCTGTACCTGCATACACACATACACACATATATATTTACTATATGTCTCTCTCCATATAAACAAATAGATATAAACAAAAAGTAAAGTGTTACAAAATTTATAAATGGTGAGCTTTTAATAAATAAGACACTAATGATTCTAAGTGAGGAGGTGTGGTGGAAGTTACGCTTGGTTTGCAGTTATGCCTATGAGTTAGTATTAGGGTTGCCAATAAGATTCAAATATAATTTGGCAAATCTAGAAGCTCATTTTTCTCTAGAGGGAAAGTTGGAATGATTAGTATGTATAGAGTTTAGAATAAGTTTCAAATTAGTATAAAAGTTTATTATGAAATGTTGACTTATGGTTATTTTTTAGAGTTTCAAAAAAACCCCAAAGTTTGAATTTTTAAAAAATAATATGATGAGACTGTCTTGTGAAGATTTTGGTAGTTAGGCTCTGAAACATTACATGACCTGAAGATAACTGGTGATAATTGACATTCTCATAGGAATGTATTTCTTTACAATAGGCACTGATGTTTCTTGTTTCTCTATTACTTGTAGATGCAAGACAGTATTTAAGTTTTTATCTATTTAAGGGTACTTCTAAAACTTAATCTACATGAAACCTCTGGCCATAGTTTTAAAAATCATCTTTTGTTTTATCTCCAACCCTGACTGTTGCTTTATTCTTTGGGTTCATCATCTCTACTTAAATGTCTCATAAACACATCAAAATTAATCAGCCCAGGCTAAGTTCATCATCAACCCCACCACACTCTACCCCACCCGCTTCATTAACATTCAGTTGATGGTATTACCACCAGCTAGAAATGTGGATGAGGATACGTGACAGTGGTTAAAGGGCCTGAGTTTGAAGTACTGCTCCGCCACTTCCTATCTGTAAGTCATCCAGGTAAGTCATGACAAAGGACCAGGATGGTGATGGTAGAAGGGCTAAGTGGTCAAACTGAAAAAAACTTAGCTTCTGCACATGAAAAAGGGGGATTAGAAATGTACCTACATGCTATGGACTGAATGTTTATATCTCTCCCCAAATTTATATGTTGAAACGTAATCCCCAATGTGTCAATATCTGGTGACAGGGCTTTTGGAGGTAATTGGGTTATAAAAAGAGACATAAGATAACTTGTTACTTCTCTGTCTCTCCATCATATGAGGCCATCACAAGAAAAGGGTCCTTACCCAGAATTGAATTTGCTGGCACCTTAATTTTGGATCTCACAGCCTCTCAAACTGAGAGAAATGCATTTCTGTCACATAAGCCACTCAATCTATGGTATTTTTGTTGTAGTAGCTCAAACTAATTAAGATATTATCAGATTAGATTATTGCTGAATAAAACAATGTATGTAGTTCACTTAACATAGATTATAGTTCTTTCTAAGTGTGCAACAAATGTACTTTAGTGCCTAACATTCATTGATTCATTCATTGAACAACTTTTTATTGAGTGCCTACACTGTGCTAGGCTGAAGGATGCAAGACAAACAAGACAGATGTATTTTTGTCACTCTTGAAATTTGCATTCTAATGAAAGAAATACAAAACAAACAAACATCTTTATTGCTATTGAGTCTTATGAGTACTGTGAAGAAAGGTAAATCAGAGTTGGAGAATGACTAGGGTGACTCCAAATTTTATTTTTATTTATTTTTTGAGATGGAGTCTTGCTGTGTCACCCAGGCTGGAGTACAGTGGTCTCGGCTCACTGTAACTTCTGCCTCCTGGGTTCAAGCGATTTTCCTGCCTCAACCACTCTAGTAGCTGGGATTACAAGCTCTTGCCACTATGCCTGGCCAATATATATATATATATATATATATGTATATACATATGTATATGTGTATGTGTGCATGTGTGTGTGTGTGTGTGTATATATATATATATGTATATACATATGTATATGTGTATGTGTGTGTGTGTGTGTGTGTGTGTATATATATATATATATATATATGTATGTTTTATTTTTTTTTTGGAATTTTTAGATGGGATCTCACCATCTTGGCCAGACTGGTCTCAACCTCCTGACCTCAAGTGATCCACCCATCTTGCCTTCCCAAAGTGCTAGGATTACAGGCATGAGCCATCACACCCAGCCCTGGTGAGTACAATTTTAAATACATAAGTGAAGACCTTTGTGAGAAAGTGGTTTTGATTACAGACCTGAACAAAGTAAGAAAATTGAGCCCTGGCAACACTGGAGGAACAAATATTCCAGATAGAAAGGACTAGCAAAGACAAGGCCCTGTGGCCAGAGTGAGAGTCAGTGTGGTTAGAGTATACAGTAAGCAAAACAGAGAAGAATACTAGATGTAGACCTAGATCTGCCAATCATTAGGGCAGGACCAGCCATGTAAAGGAGTTTACACTTGGTTCTGAGTGTAATGAGAAGATCTCAGAGTTTGGAGTTGGAAAGCAACTCAAACTGGTTTACATTTTTGAAAGAACACTGATTACTGTGTAACAAAAATGACTGTAAGGAGGCAAGTGTGGGAACTGGGGAAACAAAACAGAAGACTATGCCTGAGTCCAGGTAAGTCATGACAAAGGACTAGGATGGTGGTGGTAGAAGGGCTAAGTGGTCAAATTTGGGACAGATTTGGATTGTAAACAAGATTGGCTACAGACAAATTAAGTGTGTAATAGGAGGAAAGAAAGGAATCAAAGACCATTCCCAGGTTTTAAGCCTGAATAATTCGGAGAATGATGTTGCCATTTACCAAGACTTGAAATATTAAGGATGGACCAGGCTATGGACATGTTCAGGGAGTGTCTTTGGGACATGTTGAGTATAATATGCCTGATATATTTCCAAGTGGAGATGTCAGGTAGGCAGTTGGATTTAGGTGTTGAACAGCAGAGAGATCAGGGCTTGAAATAAAAATTTGGAAGAAATCATAATTTAGAACAGTCATTTTCAACTGGGAGACTGTTGTGCCTTCCAGAGACATTGGACAGTTTGGAGACATTTTTGGTTGAAACAACTAGGGTTCCTACTGGCACCTGGCATCTAGCAAGTATATGGAGGCCAGAGGTGCTGCTAAATATCCTACAATGCACAGGACAGCTTCTTGCAACAAAGAATCATTAGACTCAAATGTCAGTAGTTCTGGGGTTAAGAAACTCTGATTTAAGAAGCTACTCAAATCTGTGTGACCAGATGGGATGGTTTAGGGGGGAGTTAAAACAGAGAATACAAGAAGGCTGAGATACTAACATTTTGAGGTAAGAAACTGTGAAGAGGATGCAGTTAAGGAATAGCAAGAAAGAGTGGTCACTGAAGGAAAAGTAAAATCAAGAGTATGGTTTTGAGAAGCCAAGTGAAGAAAAGTATTTCAGAGAGGAAATGATAACTGTCAAATGTTGTTGAAAAGTTACATGAAGATTAGGAACAGACCATTTGAGTTGGTGAGATTTTTGGAGACAGATGTGTGCAGTGGAACAGACACAAGGCCTGACAGAAGCAGGTTAGAGAACATGAAGTAGGGAGGCGGAGAAAGCAAGCACAGTCAGAGAGAGAAGATGGGGGTACAGATAGAGAGCACGTAGGGTTTAGAAAACATGTTTGCATCGTAAGAATGATCCCATATGGAAGAAGACACTAATAGTCTCTAAGATACAGATATTCATTTGACATTTGTTGCATGCATAAATTATCTTTGGCTCCCTCCCCTTTCCATTCAGTCATGGTTGCAGATACTGCAATGGATGGTTCAGCTAAATTCCTTTCAGTGCACCCATTACTCAGCCTGCTGTGAGTAATCCAAGCTCACTGCCCCTCTTTTCAGGAGAATTGATTCCAACCTTTCCCATAAATGGCATATTCCCTCTGAGGGCAACCCACAGCCAATGATTGACTGATGAGGAACAACAAACAGGGCTGTACCTACTTGTCTTAGGGAAGATGTTATGCCCTTAAAGCCATGCTATATGGATTAGGTGTGTACTTTACCTGAGACCACATCATGCTTCAATTTTTAGGACATCTCATTATTCCCCAAAGCTGACATTGTTTCAATCAATGTATCCAAATTTCAGTCAGTAGAACAAAAGAAGAAAATGCCACAAAAGACATGCCTCACACCCTTAATACATATTTTTCAGAAATTTCACACACCATTTCTGCTTGCATCCCATTGAGCAGGCTGCCACCTAACTGCAGACAAGCTGAAACATAGAACCTTTAACTGGCAACTGAGTACCCAGCTAATAACTGGAAGAAGGGGGCGATGCATATTGGCAGCACAAGAGGTCTCGCCTATACAAAGTATCTTCTTCATTGCTGTTTTCTTAGATATAGCATATAGCTGACCCATATTAGGTATCAAGACACAAGGATTATACTTTGCAAAAATAGTAAACTAATATATTTATTGTAGTGTCCTACAGAGTTCAATATCATGTCACTTATTTGCTCATTTTACTCTCAAAATAGACTTATAAAGTAGATATCATCATGGTGCCTCTAGATTCCTGTAAATAGCCAAGTCACTCAGCTAGTATGTGGCTAAGAAGAACCTATATTCAGGTCTTATGACTCTAAATATGATTTTTATTTCATGTCATTACAGCAACCATGGGGAAAAAAAGTGTCTAGTTGTTCCTGGGAGACTTTTCCCCCTCACCTGGGCAATGAGCTATCAAAGACAAGGTTTGCAACTCCTTACCCTGGGGAAAACTGATTCTATTGGTTATTTTAGCATAGCTGTAGGGACAGACAAACCAGTTCTAAAAACTTATTTATGAATTTACCTGGCAGGGCATGAA